CACACAGTCAAGAAGCACAGGAAAACCACAGGACCACAACTACTCACATGAACAACACAGAGAGATTAAATTGAAACATGAGAGACATAAGGAAAGGAACGGGAAATAGGCAGCTCGTTTGTGCAGGGAAGTAAGGTCTTCTTGACAGTTTTTTCATTTCCAAAAGGTTTTAGAACAGATACTTAAAGCTACTTGTTAATTTTTTATTTTTTTTTCTTCAGAACAGTATTGCCCTTTTTATGTATCAGGAAAGGTCAGAATGAATACAAGAAGATACTTGGAAAAACACACTATCTGTACCGGTATTTAGTAATTTATAAGGTGTGAGTGTCTAATAATGGATTCCATGACATACTGGAGAATAATTTCCATCTTATGTCTGATCGGTGTTTGTATTTATCGGTGTTAGGCTACACGTACATGGAAGTCCATAGTGCCCAGTGTTGCACAGTGCTGAATCTTTCCTGGTTTACAGGAACTACCACAAAGTGGTTAGACACAAGAATTATTCAAATACTTCTCCCTTTGCCTCTATTAAGAGTGAGCCATATATATGGAATACTGGATGTGTTCCTTGTTCTGATGGGGTATCTTGGCTTGGAGATCCTGCCACTGAAAAATCAGAGATCCACCTGATCTCCCCAAAGAGTTTCATTTTAATTCTTGTAACTGATTTTTGTAACTCACATTATAGAGTAGGACTAATCAATCAGGATTTGTTCTTATTTTCTTCTGGTGGATTATTCTGGGAAGGTCTTATTTAGATAAAAGTGCTTGTTGAATGAAAAAGGGGGAGTGTCACAATAGAGATGTCTGGCATAATGAAAACAGAAAAAAAAAAGCACATATATTTAGAGGAAGGGAATTCAAGGCAAGATTTTTAAAGGTATTAGCTCCTGTGGAATTTGATGCATACTATTTTTAAAAAGCCTGCCACCTTTATCCTCAATTTTTTCTGTTATGGCTTGATTACTTTGCAGGTGCCAGATACGTAGATTTGGATACCAGTTGTACTGTCTGTATTTGCTGTATTTTATCTTCCATACTGCCATAGGCTGATGATTTGCGGCCAGGTATGAAAGTAGAATTTGATTCTGCGTGGAACACAGCTGAGAGGAAGGGAGCAATGAGCTGTGCTCTTGTTTATACATGTACGATAAGAAAAACTACTTTCATATGACAGCATGCTCTATACTGAAACTGTTACACTCAAGGATGAATGCATTCCCTGCGAGCACTTTAAAGTCAGAATTTCAGACACACAACTGGGTAATACAAACATAAGCAAGAGGAAAATGTTTTATTACTTGGTCAGACACTCCTTCTCATGCTACCGGTATTGCTTTCTTGGCTGGGCAACCATAAAATGCAAAACTGTCTCATACATGCCACAACTCCAGAGAATTTTTTGCATAGTGGTGCCCTGGAAAAGAAACTGGAGGATAATGAAGGTGTGTGATAGAGAAAAAAAAAAAGAAAAAGAAAAGAAAAAAAAAGATAAAGAAGAAAAACAGTGACAAAGAGCAGGCACATATAGGAAGTGAGGAGAGGAATGATAAAAGACAGTGAAGTATGACAGGATATAGTTTCCACAGCATTACATTGTACTGGGAGATGACAATATGTTAGAAGTGTATTAGCCTTAATTGTAATTAACAGAAAGCTGGCAACTTGTCTCAGCCCCTACTGTAATTTCTTGTATCTGAACTTGTTTCTGAAGCCAAAGAATTCTCCCTGAGGAGGCACTTTGTGCCCACTACATCTGCACTGAGAAGCCTCTGTTTTCTTCTCCCTAAGCAGAAGAAAAGCTCCCAGTGACATTACTCTTCTTATCTCTGGTGTCATGAACCAAAGGCTTTTGTCATTACTGTCAGATTTAGACACAGCCTTAGACACTTCATGCCCTCAATCTGTACTGAGCTTGAAACATTACTTAATGAGGTGCAACTGGCCTCAAGAGTCACAGCCTCATTGACCAGCATCGACAGAGTAGGGGAAAAGGCATTTAACCCCATGATGAATCTGTGAGAGGCACCTGGCTCAGACCAGCCTCTCACACATTCTTACAGATGACCAGAGTGCAAAAGCCAAGGCTCACCAGCTGCTCAAGCTGTGGGCAACAATTAGCAGCTTGCCTTGCCATGGCCTCCATGAGGAGAGGAGATGCTGCAGTCCCCCTCACTGCTTTGGGAAGATGGGAGAGGATTCGGCAGCCCCAGGGATGGGGGCAGCGCCCGTCCCGGCTGGCTGGCAATTACCCTGTGAGGGCCGGGGGCTGGTGCCCAGGGCTGTGCACCTTCTCTTGGGCTTCCCCTGAAAAGGATGGGTCTGACTGACGGACAAGCAAATACTGAGCCCCTAAGTCTGCCCTCCACAGCAGTGTCGGCCACCACCCCTGTGAATGTCCCTGCACTCCGGCCTTGCAGCTCTCAGTTGTTACTCTCAGTAGCTTGGTACTGTAGCTTGAATAGGGTTAACAATAAAAATCACTATGTGGAATTGGGAGGTAAACTTTGAAGCGTGAGCAGGTTGAATTTGCCAACTTTTGCCACTTTAGACCTTTGTGAATTGGCCCAGTGCTATGCATTTTATAGTTGTTCAGGAAGGCTTTTAGCTTGTGCGTGTGACACATCGTGACTCACTTTGGCACCAGTATCACACTGTATTATACATTAGATATATAACTAATGATTATGCAAAAGAAAGTCACTAATGAATTTTAGTCAATTTTTGATTAGTAGGATGGCTGTATTATGCATAATAATAGACGAAATGTTTTTCCTGAGGAGTCATTATCCAATAATTGCACAACTCTAATCTAAATTTCAAGAAGGAATGGCTACTGAAAACTCTGTCTTCTTTTGAAGGTTAGATCATGTTTTTAAATGGAATCAAAAGCACATCATATCAATATATGATAAAAAAAATATTTTTAAAAGCCAAATACCTAACACTGTCTGTAAAGTGAATGAACATTTGCTAGTGGAACCCCCATGCAGCATTTGAAAGCACAAATGCCAAGATTTATTCCTCTTGATGTTACTGAAATGTGAGAATTACCATACAGAAAAGGTAAGAATTGACTGAAGGAACATCTGGAGGATGTTGCAAAGGCATTTGCAGGCATGTCTGTGAAAGAATATGTCTGGAAAGTGTCAGAAGTTGTTCGCTCTCAGTGCTGTATTAAACTAGTATTATGACCAGGGGAAATATACTTTAATTAGGTTTGATTTTTGTTATGTAATATATTTAGAGTATTTGAAAGATGATGGATTGAGACTCTGGAGCAGGAGATCCTCTCTCCAGCTTTCTGTGAACAAAGCATAGACCTGCTCTCCTGTCAATACCTAAGCCTTCCAAGCACCCAGAGCAGTCAATTCCTGCTACTATTGTTCACTATGATACAGAAACATTATACGTAAGTGTTGCTTCAGGAAAATAAATTAAGTTAAGTTAGACGGAAAAAACAAATGGCTTGTTTTAGTCAGAGACCTCACCATAGTAGAACAGAGAAACAGACCAAAGTTCCCGTTTTCAGGTGTTGATTTGGAGTGAATAAAAAGAAGGCAGCAAGGAAAAAAAAACTGCATCCACAACTACTACATGGCAAACACTACCAACTTCAAATACTGAAAATTTCAGGGTAATAAAATCATTAAAAAAGAATGCAATTACTGTTTCCCTGACTGGCCACTTGCATAGTACCAGCCAATAAAAGCATAAATCACAGTTCCTGTGCAGAGCCTACAACTCTGTCTCAGGGTCAAAAAGTATTCAAGTTATGGAAAATCCATCTCATGTTCAGGTAAGCTGCTCTGAAGGTTACCCATACTGTTAGAGCTTTCCCCATACCTTTAGTGAGAATTTCCTTGTCATGAATTTCCTTAGCTTCCTTGCTATGAGGGATTTCACAGTTTTTTTTCTAGATTAAAGAGGGATCAGCTATCAGAAATCTTTTCACTATTTAAGCTGTGCTCACCTCCTAACCTTTTTTTTGGGGGGTAGATGTGGGGTGAGGAGGAGGGGATAAACTGAATAGCTTAAATCCTAAGCTGCTTAAGAGTTTCTAAGCCTCTTACAGTAGGGGATGTTTTCTGAAAACTGAGCTCTTTGGCAGCTTTTTTCTCACTAACCTCCAAATTTTCACATACTTGCTGAAATACAGATGACAAAACCAGACTATTCCACTATTTCCCATGTACTTTTTGAAGGAAACAGGACTACCTGGTGTCTACAATCTTGCAGACTAGTTGGCCTCTTTCTCCAAGGACTTAATTTGACTGTCAGCTAATAGGAAGACTACTTATACTGGGTTCTCATCGTTAGTCACTTCTTGTAAGTCTCACTCATTTGGGATTGCATAATTAACATGAACTTTGGGCCAAGCACAGATTAGGTATGTAGGAACCAAACCTCCTGGCATCCCCCTGCCCCCCCCAAAGGCAACCAGTAAATTCAAGAACATCCTGCAAGAAGAGTGTTCTCTTCTTTTCTGCTGAGTGCCAGACAGCCCGGAGTAAGGATCCTGGGAAGCTAGTTTCCTGTCTCACTTGGTAAAACAACCGTAGTTATACTATCACCAGGATCGTGATGCCATCACAGAATGTTTCAAATAAGCATTTGGTGGACTGAGGATTTGCTGTATTGACAAAGTGCATGACACAGAATGCTAAAAAATACTATATGTAGAATAGTGCAACATATATTTGAGCAAGCATCAAATAAACATCATTGTTCAATGAAGGCACAAACTCCATGGAATAATCCTTCTGCTTTAAGAGTTAGTGAACCACAGCATGTAAAAAATAAAGAGATGATAAAGAGGAAAGAGAGAAGCATGTGTTGGCAAAACAAACAAAAATGAAACCCTCATATCTCAAAATATGTTCACATTATTTCTGTACAAAGGCGAGTGATATGTATGGGACAATGAGTTTAGAGTGACCCATTAGCCAACACAACACGAGGCTATTGAACTGTACTATTCCCTACTTACTTACACATTTAGAGGTTGCCAGGCAGGCCACTGAGCTTTTGCCTTGATGACTGTTAACACCTCATCACTCTGTGAAAAAACAAGAAAGCAATTGGGTCAATTTTACAATGAAAGTAATATGACTTACAGCAAAAAAAAGAAAAAAAGAAAAAAGAAGCAAAAGGCACTAGATCAACTTGTGCCTCCAAATTCTACGAGAATTCTTTTTGTGATCTGCGCATCTCGTGTCCTCAGCTGCACAAGATTCATCAAGGGGCCTCTATAAATGCGTGAGGCAAGAGAAGCGAACAAAGACAGTTGGGCCTTGGGCACAGACTTTCTGTCTTCTGCAGGTACTGAAGTGAGCTTCAAACACCTGCAGCATTTTGCAGACCGTGTTATTTTTTTCCACCTGAGTTGAAGGGCAAGCTTTCAGAGTGGTGCACGTTGATGACAGGTATAGATAGGGAGAAGACCTTTGCATTGGGGAAATACCCAAAAACGATGTCAACAAGCTGCACTTGTTCCAGTAACACTATCACAGAAAGATAACTGTGCTGTATTATGGACTCTTAGTCCACATGTAGTAGTTTATTGGCAGAATGTGTATCTTGGGCTGTTGATTTTGTGACACTGACAATCCTTGTGGCCAGAGGAATTTACAAGGTTAAAAAAGGGAACGACAGAAAAATTGTTCTTAATACATTACAGATTTACAGGTCAAGAGGCAGACAAAACCTAGAGGATGCGGCTCCAGGCAACCTAACACACCCTGTCAGCACATATGATGTATTACTTATTATCCTCATATATGTATAGATTTTAAATGTCCACGGTGGGTGCACTGCAATCTCCTCCAAGCACAGATAGCTTGGAGGAGCTATCTCTGCTTGGAGCTATTGATAGCACTTTCTGTTTTCTCTCCATATATGCACATGAAAATTATAGAGTGAAATACAGAAGTCACCTGTGGAAGCCCACACTGTGTAAAGCATTGTACAAGATTATTTCCTAAAGTCTGCAGAAATTCCTCCATCAGCAGTTTTAAACATTATATTGATACAATAAACCTAGAACAAAGCAAGGACTGTTAACAAGGCTCTGATGCCCAAAAGATATCTATCAAATTCTTTTAGAAGCATTTTCCCCATCTCCCTTAGGAATCCACCCCAGTAATTTGCTAGGAGGAACACAAAGTTCACAACTCACTCACATGCTTTCTACTGTCTTCTAAAAATATTTCCCAATTAGACTAAGAAACCCACCTCATACGTTACGTTACCAGTAATTGGCACTTCCAACAGAGCTGACCTTTCAGTTTAGTGATACTCATGTCATTTCCTGCCCGATAGCAACAGTTCTGATACCCCAGACTAGTGCTAGTCCATATACACCCCTGTTTAAAGGAAACAGTTTTCACTAGTTGTTTCTACCACTCTCAATATTTTCTGACTCCCTCTTTTTACCACAGCAAGGTAATTACCACTAATGGGTCCTCTTTGTAACATTTGAGCTTTTCAGTCTCAGGAATACTTTTTTTTACAAATACAGATGCTCGACCAAAGCCTATACTACATTAAGTGTCCTGAGCTAAGATAACTGAAAGTCTGACCCTATAAGTGCGAGTAAGTATAAAAGATTTAATCAAACCCCAGCACTACTAATACAGCTGGAATTTTATGATGAAAGGAAGCAATCGAACAGCAGGCGGCAGAGCTATGCTCGCAGGCCCAGGGTGTGCAGCAGCAGGCGGAGCTGCCAGCACTAAAACCTCTCCCAGCCTCGCTGCTAGGCTGGGTGGAACTGAACAGAGAACACTCCGAGCGGCAGACATGCATCACATCCCAGGTCGTTGATGGCAACCACCTTCTTACCTCTGTACCTCAAACTGGAAAAGACAGCTTTCCCCTCAAAGTGATTTAAAAGGAAACTGATTAAATGAAGTTAAAAGATTGAAGTTAAAAGACTGAAGTAAGTCAAAAGACATTACTCGTCTTTCCCTGCCAGTGGAATTTGCCTTAATTTTCAATTTCCTTCTTTCAACATCCTAAGACTCTCCAGTCAGCCATATCTTCAGTTACTTGCCTTAAGAACATCTTTGCATTCAAAATTAACTGTGTAGTGTACATCCCAAAGAAGGTCTGTTATGAGTCCTGATGTTTATGTTTATTAAAATAATGCACTGCTTCTCTAATAGAAACCAGTAATTATGTCAGTAGCATCTAAATCACTCATGTCTGAAAGCATTTTAACACGTGCTATACAAATTCATACCAAGAGTGGATCAACTATAGTTAATAGCTTAGTAGTAAGTGCAGAGGCAAGGAAATAAGGAACAGAGCATGGTGCATTCAGACATCCCTGAATTTTTTAAGAGAGGTGAAAATTCAGATGCAAGAATTCATAGCCATTTCCAGAACAGTAACCAAAATCAAAAAAATGCCAAATCCAGCGTTCCTTTTAGCCTGGATTGAAAATACACATTTTTGGAACCTAGCGCTCCTTGACAATTACACAGGATTAAGCTGCAACTTGAATTAAATCATTGTTATTTCAGACTGATATTCTAATTATACAGTCAGCTCTATCATGCAGATTTGTAATATTTCTGATTTTAAAAAAAACCCCCACAATTTAAAATGTAACACTTACACTGTTATTATGCCACTGTGTATTGACTTCTAAATGCATCAACAGACAAGAAGACACATATCCAAGTAGGTATGTTTATGTCAAGAAGATGAAATCCTGGAAAACAACAGAGCCAATGCTGTCTGCTGCCTCCTTGGGTGTGTGAGGTCTGGCTGCCGGGCTCTGCGCCAGCCTGGGAACTTAGCTCCACTTGTGGTGTCACCACCAGCCTGCACCTCCCCAGCCTCAGGCACCTTGTCTCCAGATTTGCTTGATAACATTTGTGTTTCAAGCTGGGGGTAGGTGGTTGGCTCAAGAGCAGTTCCTTCTGAAAGTACTGTCCTGCAGAAAAGTCCGATACTGTCAATCTAATACAGGCAGCCTTAGTAACGCTCTGAAGTTGGTAAAACTTAATCATTTATTTTATATCCTTTTGTTCCTGCAATGTACAAATGAAGACACACACACACACACACACAATCGAGTCATTAAATGGCAACAAATAGAACCCTGTGACATGAGACCACTGCTAAATTAGAATGTTCCGCTGTGCCCATTGCAAAAGATTAAAAACATTTCTTCGTCTTCAAGAACAGAAAGTGGGACATAGCTCAAAAAAAAGCAGCATTGAAGATGGAATGTGAAGTCTTTCTCAAGCAAGAGGATTTAAAACGACTTGTTTAAAGGGTAATATCCATTGAAACATAATGAAAGCTTTCAGCGAAGTATCATCTGAATACCTTAAGACTGAAAGAGAGATTAGTAAGAAAGTAAGAGATTAGTGGAAAGCCACATGAACTATTTCATATGCTCCTGCTGCTTTTTGGTAACCAATCTTTTCTGAACTGGAATTTATTTTTATGAGCAGTTTTTATTACTATTATTTTTATGCGTGCCAAATAACTACAAAATTTACTGGGCAGATCACATAGCACTTTGTAATAATTATTTGATTCGGTTCAGCTAAACAAATGACAGCATATTATCTGACAGCAAAATCAGAGTCAGATTCAATGAACTGTGGGAATGAAAAACACCTGTTTTGAACCAAAGCTTAATTTCACACTGCCATTGCTTGGCATTTGTTTGATTGTTTTAGAACAGAGATCGTGTAATTCCTTCCACAACACCCATCCTCATAATATCTGAATGCCTTTCTATCCACAGTGGACTCACTTTCACAAGATTCTTAGAAAGTAGAAGTAACGTTATCCTAAATTCACAGATGATTAATTAACTATCTTCTGGAAACAAACCTACATGTCTGAGTTTTAAGATAGCATCTCTGCTGCAGGATCATCTTTTCCCTCAAAAAACAATTCATTGTTGAAGAAGAAAGAGATAAAGTGAAAATGAAAAAGTGCACATTATGTCTTCTGTGGGGAATCAAAGACTATGAAAATGAGAATGATGCAGTGCTTTGGAGGGATAGCTGGGTGCTTTTTAAAAGCTGATCAGGCTTCTATTTGTATAAATAGACCTTACCACACCTCCACCCTATGCAGGCACATCACTTCAGGATGTGAAAAGCTTCTGCTCAGTATCCCTAAGATTTCTTCAGTTTATGCAGAAAGTTTCTGACTACTGGAAGTCTTCAAAACCTCAAATTCTGGTTCCTTCTTGCTACATATGCTGTATAGGTAGATGTCATGTTAGAAGGGTGTTAGGAGGAAGCATTTAAGAGAACAAACATCTGTTTACAGGCTCTGAGTAGACAGGTAGTCTACAAAGGAAGCCTGAAATCTGAGTACTGGAGACTAGAGGATACTATAACTGTTCTTCTCGTGGGCTTAGGTACTTCACTCGTTGCTAAAAGGATGTGTTTACCTGGGACTGATAGCATGAAGATCCCCTCTGAAAGAAGACACTGCTCTTTTAAACTAGGAATGGTGATAGTGTTTGCTATAATGCTTTACAATTTTCTGTTAAGGGGTTTATGTTTGCAACTGTCTTGCAACCGTCCCTGCTGCTGAGTGAAAGCCAATCCAGATGACATTGCTATCTATTCTACTAACTGAACTACCACAGCCTGAAAAAAGGCTTCAATTTTGGGCCAGAGTGTGAGACTCATGCTTAGGTTACTTACTGGAGAAGGAAGAGTTTTGAGCTTTAGACCACTTCATCTAATAACCACTTAGTGCTAGAAGGATGTTATCATGTAAGAAGGAGATGATTTTAATTTTAAATATATGTAATTAAATTCTACTTATGAGTGAAGTGTACCTTCTTCGATGTCACGTGATTGTTATGTTTCAATAGCATAGCTTTCAGTAGGAATTCAATTGCATGATACTCATTTATGAAGAATTACACTGCAACACCAGATGTGCCAGAAGGTACATTACAAGACTGTAGAAAAAGTACTATTTTACCCCAATACAAATGCACACTTTCTTACCAGGTTGAGAGAAAAATGAAGACCAATCTTGTCTTTAAAGTATGAACTAACACAAAATATG